CTCTCTCTCTCTCTCTCTCTCTCTCTCTCTCTCTCTCTCTTGCTCACTCTCTATTTCTCCCTCCCTCCTCTCCTCTCTCTCTCTCCACATCTATTTCCTTCTCTTTCTGTCCCTGTCTCTCTGGATCCCCCTCCCTTACTTTGGCTGTTGCCTGTCAGTCTCAGTAAGGGTGACTGAGGGAATTTTTAATTTGGGGGGAGGAGGGGAAGGATGGGAGGGCTCTTGGAGGGAAGGCTAGAAAGGATATAGAGACCTGAAGGCTCTGACTTAGAGAAGGGAAGGCAAAGGGAGAAGCCAGAGAGAAGGGAAGGGGAGGGCACTTGATGAGTTGGGGGAAGGGAGTCAGCTTCATTGATGATGTGATGTGTATGTCTCCCCCCCAAAAAAAAAACTCCCACTCGCTCCGGACATACATATTGAGGCAGCATGCAGCTGGTATTTTTTGTGGGGGCTGAGGGGATGTATCCAGGGAAGGGGGGGAATGTGTGTCACTGGTGTCACTGTGTATGCATGTGTTTCTGGGCATGGCTTATGGGTGGGGATGTGTCACGATGTGTGCACTGCGGGTTGTGTTGGCAAGTGTGGAACATCCATATTGGTTCTGTGGTTAATCGTGCAGTGTGTATGAGAGCTTGTGTGTGGAGGGGAGAGAGAATATGTGCTCACACATACATTATCAACAACACAGGACCCATCAAACATGGATATAGAGAATGTACACAAATACTTCGATTCCCATATAGCCTCACAGTCTCTGTCCCCAGCCTGGATCCTATCACCTCACACAGACCCTCCATACATTCAATAGATGTTAGGGAAACAGGCTTCACCCACCCCACCCCCTTACGCCATGCCTTTTCTGGGCTGAGTGAGAAAGTGAGAAGACCCTTGGGAAGTTGAAAAGAGTCAGTCATAGGAATTCTGGATGAGGATTAGCATTACTAATTAAGCTAGGGATAGGTTTAGAAAACTCTAGAACGGTGTCCCACCTTTCCTGTTCCGGTCTAGACACTTGTACCAGAAGAAAGGCAATGCAGCTCAGTGGAAAAAGCTCTGGATTTGGGATGCGTAGAGTCATCAATTCGTAGGATATCAGAGCTGGAAAGGGCCTTAGAGATAATCTAGTCTAACCTCATTTTACAGATGAGGACACCAAGGTCCAAGTAGATTAATTGACTTGCTTGGGGTCAGAAGAATCCTGGCATGTGAGTGAGTGACCTTGGGCTAGTCACTTCCCTTTGCTCACTTTTTCTCACTTAAAAAAATGGATATGATAATACTTGTAGTACCTTTTTTTTTGGTTAGGCAATGGGGTTAAGTGACTTGCCCAGGGTCACACAGCTAGTAAGTGTTATGTGTCTGAGGTCAGATTTGAACTCAGGTCCTCCTGAATCCAGGGCTGGTGCTCTATCCACTTTGCCACCTAGCTGCCCCTGTAGTACCTTTTTCACAGGGCTGTTTTAGAGCAACATGGTATGGTGGTAAGGACATAGAACCTGGAGTCAGGAGATTCAGTCCCTGAGCCTTGCACTGTGGTCATAGGCAAGCTACAACCTCTCCAGGCTTCAGTACTCGTACCTGTAAAATGAGGTCACTTCCAGCTCTAAAGTCTATGATACTGTATGTAAAGTGGTTTAATGGATTTTATAAAATAAATTATTATTATACATTACTCTTCTTCAGGAAATTGTACAGTATAGTTCCAAACTGGGCAGCTAGGTGGCACAGTGAAAAGAGCATAGGGCCTAGAGTTAGGAAGACCTGAGTTCAAATCCAGCCTCAGACACTTACTAGCTGTTTAACCCCAGGCAAGTCACTTAACCCTGTTTATCTCAGTTTCCTCATCCGTAACACAAGGAGAAGGAAATGGCAAACCACTACCGTATCTTTGCCAAGAAAACCCCAAACAGGGTCATGAAGAGTTGAGACAGGACTGAAATGACTGAACAATAACAGTCCCAAACTATTTCCTAACTTTTATTTTTAAATATTCTAACTGCATCATTGTGTTTATGTATTTCAGTATTTATTGATATATTTGCTTTTTAAAAATCCCAACAGACAGTTCCCAATAAACACCCAAATGAACCCCCTTACAAAGAATATTCCAACTATTTTTTATTGTTGACAGAATAATCCTTTAACTTTGACAAGGAAGTACTAATCTTGACTATCTTATTTGACCAGAGTTTGGTTGCTCCCCATTTTCCTATTCCTGTTCCCAACCCCCTTGAAACATTCTGTTTATCTACTCCTTCCCCCTCCCCCACCCCAAGCCTTCCTCTATTGATTTCCCCCCCAGATTCACCGAGGGACTTTATTAGTATTGGTGTAGAGATTTTGTATTCGTTGTTCTTGTGGTTTTGCCTTCGTCACATCATACACATCCTCCTAGATTTCTCTTAAGTCTATATATTCTTTATTCCTAGCACAATTGTAATATTCCATTTCATTCAGCTTGTTTAGGATTTCCCCGATCATTGTGCCTAGCTTTTTGTCATCACAGGTAATGCTGCCATGAGCCTACCCAGATAGATGGGAACTCATGCCCACAGTGCAGACTAAAACACTTCCAGGCCTTCCCATGTCCTCCCATAAGTTCACCACGAGTAGTCCATTCAACATACTGAAGGCCTCCCTTGATTTCTCCTGACATTTCTAGGGTACCAGTGGAGCACTCTGGCTGTCTGCCTATCATCTGTCACCCTTGCCATGTGACTAGTTCATCTCTTCCTATCATACAATTCCGTGATGATATCTTTTAGTTCCATTATTCTTCCGAGTTCCTCACTGGTATGTAACCCTTGAGCAACCATGCTGTTGCCCATAGAAATCTCAAGGTTCTGAAAATGGCCAAATTCTATATCAGAGTTCACCAGTTTGATGATGGTTTGACTTAGCATCAAGACTTCTTTTGGGGGGGGGGGTGAGGCAATCAGGGTTAAGTGGCTTGCCCAGAGTCACACGGGTAGAAAATGTCAAGTATCTGAGGCCAGACTTGAACTCAGGTCCTCCTGCCTCCAAGGCCGGAGCTCTATCCACTGGGCCACCTAGCTGCCTCAACATGAAGAAAAAGAAAAACTGGAAGAGATTCCATGTGGGTAAAGGGTAGAGGAGAACCAAATGTGCACAGCAGATCTCTGGCGGCATTTCTCTCTCCATACTCACTTCTTCTGGACTTCATGTAGGGGCTGTGGCAGGATGGTAGCAATTGAAACTGATGGGATATGGACAGATTGACAAAAACTGGCCAGTGCCTTGGTGAGGTTTGAACTGTTGGAATCGCCTCAGTGTTATGCTTTTTTCTGGAAGCCTGGTAAAGGGCAAAACTTCATCTCATTCCCAGGTGAACTGCTTGCTATTGTCCCTACCTTCTTTCCTGCTCAATTTGAGAGAGGAGGAGACAGAGGGAGGGATTGGAATCGCTTCTGTCCCTCTAGTTAAAAGTCTCTGCTAGTCAAAAGTGGTCACTGCTTACATTGTTTGCTTCCTGATGGCACCCCTTTACTTATGTCCACATATCTGATAAAGGCAGAAATCTGTCAGCCACCTACATCCTTGTTTGTGTGATTAATGCTACCTGGGGATACTAATTTGGAAAGTCTCTGATCCTTTAAATGAAATAAGAGACAGATGGGTGGACATGGGGACCCTGTTTGAGTTTCCCATCAAGAGAGAGGTACCATAATTATTCCCCTAGGCTATTGCAGGCTACTCCTACAAGTGCCAGAGCCATAGCTACTGAAGACCCAGAAAGGAAAGTTCTTGTCATCAAAGCCCTTGGCACAATCAAATAATTCAACATCAGAAACTGATACTGTATCAGTGGAGATGACATTAGAGATGTTGTATAACCCTCTGCTTTGTTTCTATGCCCTAAGAACCATGGGACTTTCTATCTGACTTACAGCTAAGACCTTCTGTATGTCTTGTTTCACCCACTAAAATGAGCTCCTTGAGAGCGGGATCTCTGGATTTTCTATTTGTATCCCACAGTGCTTGATACATATTAAGTGCTTAACAAATGCCTTATTCATTTATTCATTCATTTATTTTACACATGCATTGGAGAGCACATAAACGTAAACCATAATTTATACCTTTAGAACTAACATAGATGGTCCCTAAAGCTAAGGGGAAGCTTGAAAAGGTTAAGTCTCACATAGGATGTAATTGGGAAATCTTAGGGGCAGCTGCTTACACAGAAACTCATGCATTTATCTCCCAGGGACTTCAGTGAACCAAACCTCCCATGAAAGAAGCCCTTATCTTTAGAATAGTATATTACAGCCTGTTCATACCAATCATGTGCCTTTGCATTGCCATCTGTGTGATATTCTTTGGAGATTATTGAAATGTATTTCAGGTTTCACTGATATGCAGCAACACCACTAGAATTCTGGTATTAAAAATATGGGCCTTTGCTTGTCATCAGAAGCTTGGGGTCATTAAAGGGACTTTGCAATTTCCCAAAGGCAATTCAGCTTACTGTCCTCTTTTTGTTCAATTCTGTGTCCAACATATTGTCCATCCGTACTGTCTGTCTCAGACATACATTTTGTTGTACTAAGCACAATAGGTTGTCCATTCAAATGTATGTTGTAATCTGGGCAACATACTTTATCTGCTTGATCTTTCCTGTGTGGATAGTCAGGACAAACTCTGGAGTGATTACATATCTTTTCCAAGTGGCTTATTTTTATTTTTATTTTTATTTTTATATTTTGGGGGGATTAGGCAATGGGGTTAAGTGACTAGCTTACAGCTAGTATTATGTGTCTGAGACCGGATTTGAACTCAGATCCTCCTGAATCCAGGGCCAGTGCTCTATCCACTGCACCACCTAGCTGCCCCCTTTCTCATATATTTCTTCCCATCCTCCCCTTTCTCCTCCTTTACGTTGAAGTCACCAAGTATCAGATTATGTTGATTTAAATTAGAGAGTCTTATCAGGTTCTTCAAGAAATTCTCTGCCTTTTCAACCAATGTTGGTACATAAACTACAATTATTTTCTTGGTGATCTTTATGCAAATACTTATAATTGGTACTGTAATTTGTGATTAACAAATATCTCATGAAATGAGGTTTCTTGCTGCCTTTGAAAGTGTGGTATAACCCACTCATTCTTTGCCTCTTCAATGAATACCTGTGAACCATGGGTGTTCCAGTTAACTATAACTTCTTTCCTTCTACTGGTTCCATTTATAGCAAGAATGTCAAGATTTATATGATTAATTTCCTCTGGCAGCATGTCCACAGCAGGTCATTGAATAAGAAGCTCATATTTAGATTGCCAACAGTCCATTTGAAGTTTATAGATCTTCTACAAACTGTGTTCTTCTTAGTACTTTATGCTCCTTTGTTCACCATTCTTCCACCATCATTGAGAAGGGAAGAGGTCCGTATTTAAATTTTTTCTTTGTTTCATGGGTTGCCATGGTGAAAAATTCATTACTAAGTGACAAGTAGCTGGTGATATGCCTCTCCATACTGAGCTAGGTTGGTCCTCATGCAACCGAAACAGGCCATTGTTAGAACCATAATCAAAGACTTTCCAACATGGTAGAATTTGCCAGAGTTTCTAATTCCCTGGCATTAGTCTTCAAGAACCAAGGATTGCCTCCATATCTTTATGAGGCATCAAAATAGTACCTTGTATTGTGGGACAATCTATTTTTTCAATTATGCTATATAATTCTATGTGGCCTCAAATCATGAAACACCATCTCCAAAACCTCAAAATTTCAAGTAACCCGAAGGAAATGATGGGCATAAGCAGGCTGCAGGCTATAACCAATAATGACTTGTGCACAAGAAGTTATGTGAAAGATATCATTCAGAAAACAGATAGTAAGAAGAAATGAGTTGGTCCTTTGTATTAAGAGTGAGGGATTATATGAAAAACCTGAGCATTGCACTGGTCCTCTCAGAATAGTAGAAGACCTAGAGGAAGAACTCCAGGACTTTAGGGAGATCTTCTTTGGAAGATTTATGGAAGGACATGAAGAAGAATCACCTATGATTAGAAGGTATGAATGAGCCTTGGTCTATAGCATTGACAGGAGTACCCCAATTGATGAGATCAAATCAATTGAATTATTGAAGAATTACCTTATTAATAAGGTCAGGGATAAGGTACAAGGCTATGGAGAATTCTCACCCCTAGGAAGCTGGACAGGTCTTATATGAACTGTGGATTCCCTGGGGATCTTCCCTCAGTGCCCCAATACTTTGGCCAATCTAAGCCCTTTTCCTTCTTTAGGACCCAGACCACTCCTCCTAGCTCCTGAGAGGCTAGGAGCCTCTTCTTCAGGGAGGGCTCCCCATATTTGTTCCCTAACCCTGAGCCTAGCAGAACCTGGCCCTCAGAGAAAGGTTCCTCCTGCATTCTGCCCAAGCCTCTAGTCATGATAAGCCCATGGGGAGGATTTAACTGGAAACAAAATAAGATGAAGATCATTCTTTTTGTATTGTTTATTAATTTTTTTCATTGATTCAGAAGAGAAGGGAAATATCACTCCATGGAAGAGGTAGGGAGCCCTATCTGAGCCACTCCTGAGCAGGCCACTTAAATGAGGCAGACTGGAAAGAAGAGAAGGGATATATGAAGAGATGGAGGGATAGAGACCAAAGTGGAAGGGAGAAGACTGATCCAGGAAGAGAAGATTGATTCTCAGCCCCCAAATTCTAGAGTCTTGATGGGGGTTAGAGAGTTAAAGGAGAGAAGGAGCTAGGTGAAATATGGAGAACCACAGTTCTTGCCCAGAGTCAAGTATAGCCAAGTACCTAGGAATATAGGCACTCAAGTCAGACTTCTTCACAAGTTTACAAACATAATTCTGGTCTTTCTCTGGGCCCCTACTGGTGTCCATAGTCTGGCACATCAGAGGGAGAAAAAGAGAGATCAGTCAGCTTGACGAAGGGCCTAAGGCCATGAGGGAGGAGGGAAGACAGTTAATCAAATCAATCAAAAACATTTATTAGATGCCTGTTATGTGCCAGGCACAGTACTAAGCACTGGAGATACATAAAGAGGCAAATGTTAGTCCTTGCCCTCAAGAAGCTTACCACGAGGATGAATATTTACTTGGCTTTTGGGTAGGGTGAGATGGAGATAGGGACACCCTGAGTACATACCCACAAGTTTGTTTGGACACTAGATAGAGCAAGGCATAGTCGCAGGAGGGAGTAAGTGTAGACTCAGAACATTTCTGACTGTGGGTTATAAGAAGCTGGAAAATCCAGAACATCCTATTCTCAGTCTCTGGATTGAGTGAAGTGTCATCCTGCCTCCTGCCCAAAGGCAAGATGAGATGAAATGCTATGCAGAAGCCTTTAGGGGCTGGCAGAGGAAGGAAGGAATACTTAGTGATCAGGTTGAGGATGCATCATGGGGCAGTGAAATAAGGAGCAGGGTCCCACTGACAATGTCCAGGATTATTACAAGGGGGTAGGTTAGGAAGGACAAGGTTGCCAAAATGTCTCAATCCTCCTGCAGTCACCTTCCCTACTCTTCCCAGTAGGCAGAGATAAGGAATGGAGGATTTTCACAAATCAGACAAGTCTTCCATATTCAACTCTTCAGGCTACCATTTTTCTAAAAACGACTAGAGGGAAAAAAGAAATAAAGATAGTTTAAGGGCAATTCAGAAAGTTCCATCCTTTCTTTCCTCTTTCTGCTGCACACACATCTCCCCCCCCACCCCCATCCCCATCTCCTCCCAGTATTCTTGGATCTCTTCACTGTGAATCCCTTCACTGTATCCCTTCTTGGTCCTCAGTCCCTCCTCCCTCGGGACCTTCTCTTGCATTCATCTGCTCAATCCTCTCTTGCATTCTGGCCACGTTCCTTACTCCGAACCCTAAAAAAATCCCTCAGTCCCTGCTCCATCTTCACTCTTACTTCAGAATCATCCTGCTTGTCCCTTTTGTAACTTACTGGGGACACTGACAGGTCTTTTTCTCACTCAGGAGCCTCCTGATCTGAGACATCCGCTCTGCTCGGCGCTGTCCAGAGAGAATGAGGGGAGAGGTGGGTGAAGGAGAGAGAAGCATGAAGGACTTGGGTCCATGAGACCAGAGTGGAAAATAGGGATGTAGGGGGAGGTTTCAGGCTAGAGGAGTTACTATTGCCAAGGCAATATGTCCCAGAATAAGCTTGCTGTTACTTCTTCCCTGTCTGACTTGGATCTAGGACATTGAAATGTGGGGGAAGAAGGAGGTAGGAGGCAGGAGTAAGGAACATAAAAGCATTTATGAATTTTGCAAGATGAAAGTATTCATTCCCAAGCCTCCAATGCAAAGTACACAAGCCCCTTTACCTCTCAGGTCCTCATATTACTCATCCATTTAAATGAAGAGGTTGGGCTAGTAGATTTAGAGCTGGAAGTAACCTCTTAAGGGCAGCCAGTCCAATCCCACCTCATTTTATAGACAAGAAAATTGAGGCCCAGAGAGGTTAAATGATTTGCTCTGGATGGCCTGGTAGGTCCATTTCTGCTTTAATGTTCCATGGTTCCATGATTCTGTGGGCTCGATAGTTTGACCGTGGTGGGTTAGGACAACCGGATGTATGTATGTGTTAGGGAAGTAGTGGAATGGGGAGTAAAGTGGGAAGGAGAAGTTTACTCACCAGCCTGTGCCTTCGTCTGGCACAACAGAATATAGAGAGCCCAGAGAGAAGCAACAGGGTTGCTCCTGCACCCAGACCGATGCCCAGTTGAAAGGGTAGTTTCCATTCCTGCTTTGCTGCTGGAGGAGAGACATACGCAGAGGCCCTCTCACCTTCTAGGCCATAGTCTTGAACATCAAGAAGGACTCAGAAAAAGGAGGGTTGGAGAGATGGAGCACAGAGTACTAGGCTGGGAAGTAGGACTCTTGGGTCCCAGCAGGAGAGGGTTAGCTGAGACCCCCAGAGAGGTAGCAGTTGTCTTAAGAGGTGGGATGGTGGGAGGTTAGCATGACTGAGTGGGATGAGCATTGCTCCTTGTATCCCTCTGAGAACTGAGCCAGGGCTGGGGGGAGTGAGGAGAGGGAAAGGGACCTGGTTTCTTACTCAGTTTGAAGGAATCCGATTTAAGTATTTTCTGATTCTGGGATAGCAATTGGCATTCCCACGTCCCAGCCTTTGGCTCGTTCACCTCCAGCTGCCTTTGCTCCTTTGAGACCTCCAGGCTTTTTTCTGTCTGGTTTTCTAGCATCCATGTCAGCCTCAGCCCAGGGATTATGGGACCCTGCACGTCACAGCACAGTAGACGTGATTCCTGGGACACAGCTGAAGAGAGCAAGAGACAGAAACTGGGGATTTGGCATGGGGAAGGGGTTCCTATTCCCTCTTGAGGTATGAGATAGGGATAGGATAATAGTGAAAACCCCAATGTTTACATTTATTTAGCACTATATAATTTTCAAAGCTCTTTCACTTGAGTTGACTCATTTTATCCTCAAAACAGCTA